TTTTAGGATGTCTTTGTAGAGAACGCTGACGTTCATTTCTTTACGTCATGCTTTTGCTGCACATTCATCTGCCTTCTCGTTTCTACAGATTCCAACATGGCTCGGCACCCAGCAAAGCTTTATGTTGCTTCCCTGTTCTATAACCGTTATTATGTTGTGTAGGATGTCGCCTATTATTGGTACACGCGCGTTTCTCAGATGAAGGGCTGTTAGTTCACTTAATGAGTCTGTGTATATTATACTGTTCTCGGTGGCTCGATTTGTTATTTTTTCTACAACTACTGAGATTGCATAGCATTTTGCGGCAAAGACGGATGCACATTGCGGTAGCCTAACTGTATGTTCCCAATGATTGTGTATTACCGCACTTCCAAACCGTCGGTGTAAAATGCTGCGTCTCTCTCATATTTTCCTGAAGGTCTAGGAATCCCTGTATTATATGCTCCCAGGGTGTCTGCTTTTTTTTTTAATTGAGTCAGCGTTAGGTCGCACACAGACGATAAGGTAGTATAGTACCAAGTCAGGAGTGCATTAGGTCTCTGAGAAATCTTTAGCAATGCGTCCCTTATATTTAAATCTTGACACTTCTCTTGAAATCGAAGAAGGAGCGCCCTATTGCTTTGGGTTTGTTAGTAAATGGTTTTCTGAATGGGCATTGAGTTACTATAGGGTGACAAAGGTGGTTGGACATTGACCGAATCTTCAGAACATATGAGCATGTGAGCATGATTATTCTGTCTACCAGTGGTGGCTCATTTGCTTCAACATACAGACTTTTTATAGGTGACGTCCTATATGCACCTGGAGGCGCAGACCTCGATGGTGTATCGGATCCAGCTGTACCAGATACGTTTGTCTCGCTGATACACTATACTACAGTCGAGCCCGACTATATCGACCCGTTTATATCAAATTATCCCGTATATCAAACAATTCCTAAACAAGGTATATTTACATTGAGAATATATAGCAAAAGTTACTGTTTTATTGAACGAAAATAGCAACAACAACTGATATATCGAACTCCATGTGCCTCAAAAGTGCCCCAGCAAGTTGGCTTTCCCTCGCGGTGGTGGGGAAAACTGCCAACGCCACCCTAGAAAAAGTTGGTTAGACCTGGTTGTGCATGGGCGAACACCACCCTGCAAGAAATAATCCTGGCCCACTCGCAGCGCTCACAGCCAGTCAGAGGCCATCGTGCTTTCTTCGAGGCGCGGAGGCGGTAGAAGTGAGCGCCAATTTTTCTGTCTTTACACTTGAGTGCCTGCAGCTACCTGTTTTGCTCGAGTCCTCATCCAATGTGGTCTGTGCTGGTGGTGTTCCCTGTTGCTCTGTGAACTGTGTTGGCGCACTGTCGTCATGGCTTGCGCAAAGAAGGAGAATAAGCCGTTCGCCACGAAACTCGAAATCATAAATCGGGTCAAGCGCGGTGAAAAAAAGTCTGACGTCGCCCCCATGTACAAAATTCCTAGAAGCACCTTGAGTACTATCCTGAAGAACAAGGCAGACATCAGAGCCAAGTCGGACAAAAGGCCAGGTGCCCGTGGCGACCGACGTGTGCGCACTGCTGTGTACGAGTTGAAACAGCCGTTTACAAGTGTTCCCGGGTGCTGTCGACGGATCGACATTCGACGAGTTCATCAGTGCGGACGATGTCGCCATCACGGGTCAGCTGCAAGATGAGGACTACATTGCAGACGTCGTGCTGACCACAAGCCAAAGGGACAGCAATAAGGAAATTGACGATGGCCCATTGCCTACATCCTCCGAGGTGATTAGTGCACTTGCGTTGGTCCGGCGCAATTGCGTGAATGTGGAAAGTTGTGGCCTCAGCTACTTCGACTCGTTGGACAACGTGGATGCGTGCGTGCTGTCGCCGGCAGCGAAGTCGTTGACCCAGAAAAAAATCCGCGACTATTTTGTACCACAGTAGGTGTCGTAAGTAATCCGCCATATTAATAAACTACTTTTCTTATAATTTATTATGTGCCTTTGTGTCAAATCCTATACCGGGCCTATATCGAACTATGCCATATATCAAACTAATACCGCAATTACTCGAATCTAACGTGCACCTTTTTTCCAGTTAAGCGAGTTCATAAACGCATGCGCGTTAGAGTCGAGTACGAAAAAAAAATGAATACGGTCATTCTATTGCCATCGGCATTTTCAAAATAGCCGCCCCTACGTGCATCGGCCATTTCTGCCTATGTGTTTCCCATGAGCGGCAGTTCGTACGTGTGCTGAGGAGTTCGTCATCTTGTAGTGCATTAGCATCGACGGCATGGAAGGGCCGACTTTAAAAACTCGACGAGTGCACCACGATGCCGCTTTTAAAAGAAAAGTCATCGCGTGTGCCGAAACAGACTTGGAAATCGGGCCGCATCGCGGTCGTTCGGAGTTTCCGAAACGTGCGTGCGGGACTGGCGGAAACAAAAGCAGAAGATTGTCAACAGCAAAGATTCATGCAAAGGCTTCAGCGGACCACAGCAGGGTCGGTTTTTGCAAGTTGAAGAGCTGCTCGGCGAGTATGTGATCGAGCAGTGAGCGGCACAGCGGCCCGTGACGACAGAACTGCTCCAAGTGCAGGCTATGCAGTTATAGCCTTAGAAAAAGGGCTAATGCGGAGCCAGTTTAAAGCGAGCAGGTGCTGGCTAACTAACTTTATGAAGAGGAAAGGCTTTTCCCTCCGAAGGCGAACGGGCATATGCGAAAAGTTGCCAGAGGAGTACAAAGATAAGCTTCACGGTTTTCAGAGGTTCGTCCTAAACTTGCGGCACAACAACGGCTACCTGCTTGGGCGAATCGGGAATGCCGATCAGACGCCTCTTTACTTCGACATGCCTGTCCCACCAACCGTCAAGAAGAAGGAGGCGAAGCAAGTTCGCTTGCTGACATCGGGCCACGGTAAAATTAGAGTGACTGCAATGCTCCGTTGCACGTCAGATAGGCACAAGCTTCCCCCATACCTCATATTTAAACGGAAGACGCTCCCGAAAGGAGTCGTTTTCCCGAGTGGTGTGATCGTGCGGCCCAACGAGAAAAATAGGTGCGCGTTGCAATCCATGTCTTACTTTTTTTTTTTTCGTCGTGGAAACCGGGTGCGCGTTACAAACGAGGGCGAGGTAGAATCGAGTAAATACGGTAAACGTTTTTTGGCGAGTTCGATATTACCGGGTTCGACTGTACTATAATCTGGGCAGGATCTTACAACAAAACGGAAAATTTGTTATAGGCCTGTCCTATCTGAAGCCCAGCATTTGCGTGACAGGACTTTCAGTATGTTGAGAGATTGGGATGCTTTTTTCTTTCATCATTTTATGTGTGGAAGGAATGTAAGCTTCTTATGAAATACTATATCCAAGAACTTGTGTTTTTTCTTTACTGGTAATTCGGTTTGATTTAGGTGTAAGGTAGGGTCCGTCTGTATGCCTCGTTTGAGAGAAAAGAGAATGGCCACAGTTTGTTGTGTGCAAAAGTGGAAACCATTTCTATCTGCCCATGTTAATTTGTTAATCGCTAACTGCACTTGTCTTTCGCATGCTGATGTGTTGCAGGATTTGCTAGCTATTTGGCGGTCGTCGACATAGAGTGGGTACACGATTCAGTTTAGTATTATTTTGTTGATCGAGTTCATTTTTATGACAAATAGAGTTGTGCTCAGAATGCATCTTTGTGGCACTCCATTTTCCTAAGTGAAATTTTTCAATAGTGTTGAACCTAGGCGCACCTGGAATGAACAGTTAGATAGGAAGTCTTTAAGACAGTTCAACATCCTTCCGCGGACCCCTAGCTCAGCCAGGTCCTGGAGGATTCCGAACCTCCAGGTGGTGTCGTATGCAAGTCAAAAAGACGGCCAGACAATTTTGTTTGCATCCGAACACCTCACGGACGGTATGTTCGAGTCGTAGTGGTGGTCGGTTGTGCAGCATGATTTTTTAAAACCCCACTGATGAATATCGAGGACTTTGCATGATTCAAACACGAAGGACAGCCTAACATTAATAACACTTTCGAAGGACTTTGCAAGACAGCTGGTGAGAGCTATCGATCTGTAGCTACTAGCATCAGTTGGTGGCTTTCCCTGTTTCAAAAAAGTGGTGATAATGGCCTTCTTCCAGGCTTCAGACAATTTCCCGGATATCCACACTTGGTTGAATGTCAGAAGTTTTTTTACGACAGGTTCGGAGACATGTCATTTACTTAGTTATAACCAATATTTCATTATATTCGGCATCGTTACATCGAGGTATGAGTGTAGATATAATGTTATAAACTCTGTAATCAGACGTTTTACAAACTGATCTACAGCTTTCTTTCTCACTGAAATTTTTTCGCCCAGCTTCACTGCCTCAAAAGTTAGATAATTATGCTTAAAAGTTTTTAGATGGGCTAGTTGGTTCATGAACATTGTGGCAAAAACAGCACTGACAACAAAACGAAGAACATACAAAATGCAGCGGTGACTATTGGCAAAAACAGTGGAGACAATGAAACAAAAAGCATACAAGAACATACAAAGGAGTTGAACATACAAGACACACAAGGGAGGGACGTAGAACATACAGAATACAGTGTCAGCGCTGTGTCCTGTATGTTCTTCGTCCCATTGTCTGCACTGTTTTTGCCACAATAAAAATGTTCAAAAAGAAAATTAGGAGTAAAACAAAAAAAAGTGTAGCTTACTCCAAGCAATAGCCATCAACATGCGTTTGGTCACATTGTCATAGATTGTGTCGGCTTATAACTAAACAATGGGTAGAGATAGCTGGGACACCCTGTATAAGAGAAAGGGGAACAAAGCTAACATAACTAAAACAATACTGTTAGAAAAAAGTTATTATCAATGTGAATGGTTCTTCAGCTCCTAAGCCTTCCTTTAGAGGGTCACACTTCCTCTATCTAGTTTTAGGTGGATGCCAACTCTCATTCCTACTGAGAGTACCACAACCACTTGCCCTTCCACCTAACCAAACTCAAATGGCACTACTATAACTGACCTTTCGTGACTTTGGCCAGTTCTCATAGGTGCAGGCATGGCAAGTCCACTTGCAGCATAGGTCAGTACTGCTGTCAGAATCTTCACTAGAAGTCGTGGCCTGCTGCGGCTGGCCCGATGGCGGGCTGGCTGGTGCAGCGCCTGGCAGGCTCCGTGGTTGCAGACACTGAGTGCACTTGCTTGACCGTGGCCAGTTGAGATACGTGCACCGACTGCATGACCATTTTTGGTACGAGTCGCCCGGATCGGGGGATAGCAGGGGTGACATCTGAAATGCCAATCAGGGTAACTATCATAAATAACTTACAAATGCTTGGCACTCAACTATAAAGGCAGTCACCCCTGCTAGCAAAGGATAAAACTTGGCTGGTTGGTGTAGTTTTATCGTTTTTAAACTACCGCGAGAATATAGTAACATGAAGAATAAAAAATAAATGGTAGTCAACAGATTAGGCACAGTTCGAATACATGTACAAAAATAGCGACACTTCACCAGTTTATTCTCACTCCTTTGAGTCTATCTTTGTTCAAGATGTTCTCCCGCGCAAACACAAGAAAACAAGGTTCTGCTAGCGGAGGCAATGTAGTGCGTTTGGGTGTGTGTTGGATTTGTCAGCCTCTGAAGGATATACAAAAACTCCCACAATGCAGGAAAAGTAAGCTTCATGTCTCGTAGTGTCAATGGCTACTAAGAATAGAAAGCATGCCTTAATTTTGTGCAGCATATTAGTTGCAACCGTTGCTGCACTGCTCCTACAATGAAAGAAATTCTGAAGTTTGTACGGCCGCAGTTATGAGATACCATGCAACAAAAATCATGCAGCATCAAACAACATCACTAGTTGATACCACCAGCATACAAAACCGCCGGTGCTCATGCACGGTGGCACCACCGTGCAGCTTATACCACTGTTACTATACTTTCTTCAGGACTGGCCCATGAAGACGTTTAGATGGGAATGTCTGGAACCACAACGTCTGTCCCTTCAACAAAAGGCACAGCCTCTCAAAAACACCCCCACATGACCGTAGTTTCCCCAATGACTATTTGGCAAAGCTTGTTTTGTCGTTATGCAGTACCACACAGTACTGATGTCCCAGATAACCATCCGCTAGTGGAACACAAAACTGGTAGCTTGCATCAGAAGCATAGCCAGAATTTTTTTTAAAGGGGGGGAGGGTTTACTACCTTTTATGCATGTTCACGTGTGTATGTTTTTATATGCATATATATATATAAATGCATCACTGGCCAGTGGCATTTGAAAAAAGGATACCTTTGGAGGTGCCCCCTGCACTATTTGTTGTGTATGTGTGTCGTCCCGAGAGTCGTTGCGGTCTATCAATTCAAGCTGACGCTATGCGGTGAGTAATGCAAACACGTCATTACTATCTACTAAGTTTTTGCTTTTCACCGCTCTCTAGAACTAGAAATATACCACTTGCGAACTATTGAATGCAACTTTAAAGAGAAACTGATTTATATGCTTATTTTCCTTTTTTTCTTAGCCTGTTTCTTTTCCCCAAATTGTGTTTACATCTCCTCCTCTTATATGCCACGCTGTTTAAAGGTAACATGTGAAACGAACAAACAAATTGAGAAAGCGTTAGAAAATTTAAAAAAAAAACTAGATGCTACAAGATAATGTGAAGTGGTCTGACATACCTTGTAAATGTCGCGTTCTTCGCTGGACGCTTCCTCTTCTATTAGAGTGGGCCGAGGATTCTGGCAGATGACACAACGCTGCGCCTTAGGCCAGTTCTCGTACGTACAGTGCGGGCAACTCCACTTGCAGCACTGACGACTCATGACTCTGCGAGGATTAGCACTTCACAAACCAAATAATTAAGCCGCACCTAGCGGCTGCAGCCTTCGCTAGGTTCCGGGCACCAGCCAGAAAAAGTGAACATGCAACTAAGCGTGATCGAAAATCTTTACACAACTAGTTCTTTCGACTCGGCGCCCGAAACTGCAGTGCAATCACGGTGAAAATAAAAGTTGTTCAAGGTTGAAATGGAAATATTTCAAGGGGCACGAACTAATTGCAGTGGAGAACAATTTGAGTCGGGAGCAGACGTTATGAGACCCCACGAAAGCGCACTAAACACATGTATCAAAAGTGAATTTAATCGGTTCGGCCGAGTTCGAAAACCCCGCACCAAAACATTTCGAAAGGTATTGCCAGTATTACTATCAAACACCACCTGATACTACTAACAACATTACCAAAAGTAATCCGCGGGCGGGAACGAGAACACAGAAATTTCGAAGGAAAACCACAGTAGCACTCACGCTCAGCTACCAACAAACTAATTCTTATAATCGTAAATTATTAATATTAGACGCTGTACTCACCACACTTCAAGCACTTCACTTCGGTAAAAGCCGATGCTGCAGAGCGTTGTTTTCATCCGTCACAGAAAAATGATTAGGCCTACTATGTTATCTTCTTCACCTTCGGCGCTAACGAATATCGCGCCGATCAGCATACGATCTCTAATTAGTAGATCACTCCTGTCGCCTTGATGGTAGCAGCGCTACCAACGGCGCGAGTAACTTTTAATGGCAACGTATCGAGACATTATAGTTCAACACAACGTCTGTTCAGCGGCTACGAAACTTTTAAGTTTAATTTCTGCAAAGGAACAGCACCCATACCCATGACTGGAGACTGGACGCAAGCGCCGAAGCGGTCGTAAGTAAGTAGGTGCTCCTAATCCCTTTTGGCACAGGGCAGGCGCCAGCAGCGCCACAGGACAAAGTTGTGCGCTTCAACGCACATCCATACACACGCACACACACATCACCAGTCAGGCGCTTGCCGCGCCACCGTCAAAAAAAAAAAAAAAAAAAAAAAACATTTTGTGTTTTACACGCACTTCACGCGAACACGCACTCACACGTTTTCCACTTTACTGTTCGAAGAAAGAAAGGTCTGGTAGTAAATTGCCAGTTTCGCCACCAGGGGAAACGTGCCCTCGGCCAAGTCTATCCAGTGGCGTCGGCGTCGTTTAGATATTTTCTGTCGGCCCTTCGTTGCGCTGGACACTGTCGGGGTGTTTGTCCACCTGCCAGCACAGTCTGTCCCAGAGTTTTAGACGTCGCTTGGCACTCTCGGTGTGTTCGACTCGGGTGTCGACGGGATCATCTGGGAGACCCAGATATTCCGCCAGGTTTATCTTGGGTAGGTCCCTCGCTCCGAGTCGCGGGCAATCCATCAGGATATGTTGGATGGTTTCTTCCGTGGCCCCGCATAGTCGGCACGACGGGTCCGTGTCGAACAGTTCCCAATGCCGCTTCCGCGTGGGCAGTGGCCCCGTCCTGGCTTGGAACAGGAGGGCGCTTTCCCGGTCGCCCCTGTAAAATGGCTCCGGTCTGGAGCCTGCTTGTATTCGAGGTATAACTGTAGGCTCCTTTTCTTTGCCGCCGACGTGCGCCACATCTCTGTGCTGGCTTCGGTTATAGTGTTTTTTGTTATTATACGCCATTCTCGTTCCGATTTTGCTTCTTCCAGTTTTGTGTTATGGCCGAATTTATTTTCCAGAGAAGCCAGTCGTTTCATCCACTGTGTTTTTATGCCCCTGTATCGAAGGTGTAGGTATATGCGCTGGCTGTAATTTGTTTCTGGTAGAAACTTTAGCCGGCCCGCATATTGTATTTTTGACCTTGCTTCGCGTGCTTCGAAAGTTGACCAGGCCAACTCCCCTGTTACTGCTGCGTTTGCTGTTGCAAAGCTGCCTCCCAGTAGCCAGCGCCCCAGTTCATTTGGTGGCGGTCCAACATCGCACTGTTTGGGTAGAGTACGCCAATGTGTCACCTGCGTAGGTTATTGCAGGCACGGCAAGAGTCTTCCAAAGTGTGCGGCCTACCCTGTAGGGGTTGTAGGAATGCCGTGACAGGTGCCACACCTACCTTTTAGGCGGTTGGATTGTTTTAGGAGTAATTCTTGGTGTTTGTCAAGGTAATTCTTTTGGTCTGATATTGTTATGCCTAAATATCTGTATGTTGCTGTTTTCTTGATGGTGTTGCCTTGGATGGTGAATGTTATGTCTTTGTCATCAATGTTTATGCCCATCCATTGTGTTTTGTCAGTGTTGAATGTGAGGCAATCTTCGTGGGCTACGCGAGAGCATATGTCGAGGAGATGTTGCAGGTCCGCTGGGGATTCAGCCATAATACGATGTCATCGGCAATGCCAAGCATGAAATTTTAGTGTAGATTTCTTGGCGCTCAGTTGTTACGGTGGAAAGACGTAGCCCTGGTCCTTCTCTATTTACTTGTTCTAGTAGGCTGTTAATGTAAATATTGAATAATGTTGGCGATAGTGGGCACCCTTGTTTAAGTCCAATATTTTGTTGCACCTGTCTAGATTTATATTACGCGAGTAACCACAACAGATGGCGTCACATCGCTGCTGCTGACCTTGTTTCGAAGTTTCAAACAGCCCAGAACGTCTTGTTCGCGCTACTTTCGGTGACTGTTCGCTTATTTCGCGCAAAAAACGAAAAAATTGGCAATGATCCGAGCTGTATGTTCGCGAGCAATCTTTGAGTTCGCGCCTGTGAATACTTCTTTGACCTCTTCCCAGAGAGCAGCATCTGCATCCGGGATTTCGTTGTTTCGGCGTTTGCTACAGCAGAGCAGGTACTGTGCATTCCACCAGCGCTACGTTTGTAATCAGGTGAAAAGACTATGTAATTGTTGCTCAATCAGGGCTTAATAGGTTTTCAACATATTCATGTGGCGATCTGCAATAGTGGCGTATTGATGAAAGATTTGTCTGACATAAATTGCTTTGGGTTGGTGATGCCTATGGCCCATGCCGGCGCACGCCGGCTCTAATAAATTATGACAGGCTATACTGTGTCGGCGTAGATAACATTATAAGAGCCGCAAGTCTTAGTCCCTTTTTTTTCTTTTTCTTATTTTAGAAAGCGTGGTACCTATCGCGCATCCGCCGATTCTGCTTCGCGTTTGGGAAGCCAAGCCTAAGCCCACTGATAGGCAGGGATGATTGCTTTTGCTACAGCTTTTGCTATGCACAAGTGGTACCACGGTAGACCGTCAACCACAAGTTATTTTCCTGTCTTAAAAACAGAGTTTCATGCAAGTCTATGCAGAAAAACGTTCGGGCACTTGTGCTTGGTGTTCCTTGTAATCGCTTAGAATAAGTGTTCAGGGAAGTTTGAAGCGCGTTGCGGACCGAGGCAAGTAACTAAGCGCATTGTAAACATTATGTCAGCATTGTATTAGTCATTATTATTTTTATATTGTATTGGCTTGTTAGGAAGTGGCTAGCGTGAAAAGAGACGACCAATTTTGGAACGTGATTTTCTTGTCTCGGAGGTTGTAGCGCCCTGCAATGAGAGGTCAAAGATCACTGATATAGAAGCTCCTGCCTGTCGTTATCTTGTCCCCCCTCTTTTTTTCCTTTCCTTTCTTCATAGTGTGTGTCTCGAGAAGAGCACCGGAACTTCTCAGATGGAGTCAAACCAAGTAGTTCCTGATGTGATCGACACGGTCCCGCAGAACAACGTTGAGGTGACAAGCCTTTTGCGAATTCTGTCAGTTTAATGCAATTCAGGCTTGTTTTGTGTTGTTTTTTACTCGGAAGAAATCGACCTTCCTCCTATCGTCAATGCTCGTTTGCGTTTTGTGTTCCTTTGTAGGTGACTTACAATGGACAGAAGGTTAACATGGGGAATGTTTTGACGCCGACGCAAGTCCAGTGTCCTCCGAAAGTCTCGTACCCAACAGAAGACGGCGCTCTTTACACCCTCTGCATGACTGGTAGGTTGTGTTACATTAGAGTCGCTGCTAAGCTAAGGTGGTTACTGTGCTAATGCAGACCCCGACGCACCGAGTAGGCAAAGTCCAAAGTACCGAGAGTGGCATCATTGGCTTGTGGTGAACATTCCCGGCTGCAATGTCTCCGAGGGAGAGACACTGTCGGAGTATGTCGGTTCTGGTCCACCAAAAGGAACAGGTGAGCTTGCGCCTCGCCCTCATTGTGGGTTTGCAAAGTGACAATCCAGTGCAGCAGGCAACAATGCGTGGGGGGTTGAACGTCATTCCCGCGAATGGTAGGTAACAGTTGTCTACAAACACAGGTCTGCACCGATATGTGTTCCTGGTTTACAAGCAGCCTGGAAAGCTCAGCTGTGATGAAAAGCGCCTCACGAACCGCTCTGGTGACCACCGAGGTTGCTTCAAAGTTCGCGAATTTGCCAAGAAGTATCAGCTGGGCGAGCCGGTTGCTGCCAACTTCTACCAGGCAGAATGGGATGACTATGTGCCTAAGCTGTATGAGCAGCTCAGTGGCAACTGAGTTCAAAGCACTCTCCCTGTTTTTCTTTTTTTTTTGTTCCCATTCTGTTGCTGAGCCTTCATGTTCGGGCCAAACATGCCACTGGTCTTTAGCATGTTCTCAATAAAACAGCTTTGCTGGTCTGTAACTCCTTTTTTTTCCTTGATTACTTGCATGTCACACTACCCCTTTTCTCTCACAGTTCCGCCCTCATTAGTACCAGTGATATCTTGTGTGTCTTGTTGGCAAATTACTTCACATCCAGTATTCACAACTACACTGTGTTGTGTTATCTAGTTGATAAAATATGAGGCATGCCAAAACTGTTGCACATTATACTGCTGGGATGCTACTAAGGACTACTGTGAGAGTTCAACTGATGATGTTGCATTCAACAAACTTCTACAATGGGGAATGAATGGGCTAAAGAGCAAATGTATCATTGTTGCATTCAACAAACTTCTACAATGGAAAGTGAAAGGGCTAAAGAGCAAATGTATCTCTTTTGTGGGTAATTGTGAAGACAGTACAAATGTACAAGCAGCGTTTGCTCACCGCTAAGGCAAAAGCAGGCCGTTTTTCACATACATGCAGCTATTGTCAACCATGAGCATGTTATGCAAATTTTGCTTTGTTATGTATTAAAAAAAAGGTTGGTGCATGTTAGTTTAACTGCAGACCAGCATTCCAGCTGGATGGCAGCTTGCTTTTATGCCTAGTGATTTGTCGTTTCACTTGTTGTTTTAGGCCAACATATTCTGTTTTCTGCCATTATCTAATAAAACGTTCTTGTGCTGGGCTTCGTTCTTTTTTACTCTGATGGCATGTTCACATCAGTTTAAAACTCGCTGTTCAAGCAAGTCAAAACAGTAACAAGAGGGGTGTACAGGTGAAAACCCTGAAATTTTTTCAATTCCTTGAAAATCCCTGAAATTTCTTGAATTTCATCTTATGGAGACTATGTGACCTGTTGTCAATCAGCAGGGTCCTCTGTATAAACCTGGAATTCCCTTTGAATTTTTGAAGAATGTGGCTGGAGTCGTGGAAACTAAGTGATGGCAGTTTGTATGACCTTCATGAAATTGATGATGATGATCCTCACATTTCTGGCACTCGCCCACAAAGGGGGATCGGCGAAGAACCGTTCGGTAGGATCTTTGAGTTAGTAGATATCTAAGGCAGCGATGGCGTAGTGGTTAGAACATCAGCCTCGCATGCAAGAGGTCCGTGGTTTGAATCCCGCTGCCGCACAGTTCCCAACCGGATAAAAAAAATCCACGTGGTGATGGAACTGCATTAAGAGGCCTGGGGTGCGGCCTCACCGGTGGCCACCGCTGGTAACGCACTCCCTCACCAGAGAAGGATTGACCACCCTGGTGCAGTATCTGGCCACTACCTCCCACATGCATACGTCAATTGACTCGCGGCCCTCATTCCCCAGCGACCACAAAGCAACTGACCATGGTGGCGGTCAGATCTGCAATGTAGCAGAAAGTGCCAAGAATCTCTGGATTGGGACAGGCTGCCATTGGCACCTGAACTTGTCGATGCTTAACCCTAGAACCTTATCTAGTGTGGCAAGTCTAGCTGTACTATTAGAGGAGCTAGAGGGCATTAAATGGGGTGTAATAAGGCTCAGCGAGGTTAGGAGGACAGATGATGCCTATACAGTGCTACAGAACGGGCATGTTCTTTGCTATTGGGCCTGGCTGACAGAAGGAAACTGGGAGTGGAGCTCCTTGTCCACAGAAACATGGCTGGCAGCATAGAGGTATATATAGCATTAATGAAGGGGTGGTAGATATTGTAAATAAACTCTATTAGAGATACAAGATGAAGGTGGTACAGGCTTATGTGCCTGCATCCAGCCATGATGACGCGTTAGTTGACAGCTTCTGTGAAGACGTGGAATTGGCAATGAGTAAGGTAAAAACACGGTACACTATACTGATGGGAGACTTCAGTGCAAAAGTGGGAAAAAAACAGGCTGGAGACCAGGCAGTAGGAGATTATGGCATCGGTTCTAGAAATCCCAGAGGGGAGCTACTAGTAGAATTTGCAGAACGCAATAATTTACGGATTCTGAATACCTTCTACCGAAAGCGAAGGAACCGTAAGTGGACATGGAGGAGCACTAAGTTATGGCAAAAATTAGAACGAAGTAAACTTTATGGTGAGTGCGCACCCAAGCATCCTGCAGGATGTGGAAGTGCTAGGCAAGGTACGATGTAGTGACCATAGAATGGTATGGTCCCGAATTCGCCTAGACTTGAAGAAGGAACGACAGAAACTGATACGCAAGAAGCCAATCAATGAGCTAGCACTGAGAGGGAAAGTGCAGGAATTCAGTCTCGCTTCAGAACAGGTACTCGGCTCTTAGTGAGGAAACCAACCTTAGCATAGATACAATGAATGAGAATCTGACGAGTATCATTACGGAGTGTGCAGTGGAAGTTGGAGGCAGGGTAGTTAGACAGGACACTGGCAAGCTTACCCAGGAAACGAAGAATCTCATTAAGAAGCATCAAATCATGAAAGTCTCAAGTGCAACAGACAAAATAGAACTGGCAGAGCTTTCGAAGTTGATTAATTAGCGTAAGGTATCCGATGTAAGAAAGTATAACATGGAGAGAATCGAACACGCTCTGAAAAACCGAGGAAGCGTCAAAGCAGTGAAGAGGAAACTTGGGATAGGCAAAAATCGGATGTATGCACTAAGGGACAAAAAAGGCAAAATAACTACCGATATGGATAGGATAGTTAAAATAGCGGAGGAGTTTTACAGAGATCTGTACAGTAGCCGGGACAACCACGACTTTAATACTATAAGAACTAGCAGTAACCCAGATGACACCCCACCAGTAATGATAGAAGTCAGAAAAGCTTTGGAGAGCATGCAAAGAGGCAAAGCTGCTGGTGAGGATTAGGTAACATCAGATCTGCTGAAAGATAGAGGACAGATTGTGTTAGAAAAGCTAGCGACCCTGTTTACGAGGTGTCTCCTGACGGGAAGAGTACCAGAATCTTGGAAGAATGCTAACCTCATCCTAATACATATGAAAGCAGATGACAAGGACTTGAAGAATTACAGGCCGATTAGTTTGCTCTCCGCAGTATACAAGCCATTTACAAAGATAATTGCTAACAGAATTAAGACATTAGAATTCAATCAACCAAAGAAACAAGCAGGATTTCAAACAAGCTACTTAACAATTGATCACATTCATAGAATCAATCAGGTAATAGAGAAATGCTCAGAGTATAGCCAACCACTATACATAGCCTTCATAGATGACGAGAAGGCGTCTGATTCAGTAGAAATATCAGCAGTCATGCAGACACGGCGGAATCAGGGCGTCGACGAAGCATATAGAAACATCTTGGAAGAAATCTACAGGGGATCAACTGCTACCATAGTGCTTCATAAAGAAAGCGACAAAATACCAACTAAGAAGGGTGTAAGGCAGGGGGATACAATCCAGGGGGGGAGGGCAATAGGGGCGATCGCCCCCCCCCCCCCAAAGCCTGTCAGCACCCTCTCCCCCTCCCTTCAGTGCTTGCCATCCACCTGCTATCACCACTTAGGACAAATGAGTGGGACCACTGTGAGCACACATTAACAGTATTTATGCCATTACAGGATTTTCGTGCTAGTAAAAAAAAGTAACCAGCACACCCCTCTTTCTGGTGTTAATTCAAGTGACCCCCCCCCCCCCTCCCCTAAAATGGGTGGCTGGATTCGCCCCTGATACAATCTCCTCAATGCTATTTACCGTGTGCTTACAGGAGGTTTTCAGAGGCATATAATGGGAACAGTTACGCATAAGAGTTAATGGAGAGTACCTCAGTAACCTGCGCTTCGCCGATGACATTGCATTGCGGAGTGACTCAGGGGACGAATTGCAACTCATGATTACAGAGTTAGACAAGGGGAGCAGAAAGGTAGGTCTTAAACTTAGACTGCAGAAAACGAAAGTAATGTACAACAAACTCGGAAGAGAACAGCGCTTCGAGATAGGTACCAGTGCACTTGAAGTTGTAAACGACTATGTATACTTAGGACAAGTAATAACCGCGGAGCCGAACCACGAGACTGAAGTAACTAGAAGAATAAAAATAGGGTGGAGCACATTTGGAAAGCACTCTCATATCATGACAGGTAGATTGCCACTATACCCTCAAGAGGAAGGTATATAACAGCTGCATCTTGCCGGTACTTGGGTACGGAGCAGAAACCTAGAGACTTACAAAAAGGGTTTAGCTTAAATTGAGGACGACGCAGCAAGCAATGGAAAGGAAAATGGTAGTTGTAACCTTAAAAGACAAGAAGAGAGCAGATTGGATTAGGGAACAAACCGGGGTTAAGGATATCATAGTTGAAATCAAGAAGAGGAAATGGACATGGACTGGGCATGTACCACGTAGACAGGATAACCGCTGGTCATTAAGGGTAACTAGCTGGATTCCTAGAGAAGGGAAGCGGGTTAGGAGGAGACAGACGGTTAGGTGGGCAGGTGAGATCGGGAAGTTTGTGGGTATAAATTGGCAGCAGCAAACACAGAACCGAGTTGACTGGCAGAACATGGGAGAGGTCTTTGTCCTGCAGTGGACGTAGTCAGGCTGATGATGATGATGATGAATCTAAAAACTTCCAATGAAAATTAAGTTTCAAATATCAAATCGTAAATAATGAATGAAAATGCTGCACGAGCAAACGGTCATGTAATCAAACATGTTTGCTGTGTGAGTTATATACCAAAAGTAAGAAGTTTTAATTACAGCTGCTGATAGTGCTGCTGATGCTTGGTGACTGGTTCCTGCACGGTGCTTCTCATTGATATTTTTCGGGTGCGAAGATGACTGCGTACGAAACTGAATATTTGCTAAATGACAGGCCATACTGGCACAAATGGATTCGCTCGGAGGATTTCAAGCTGGACGGTTGTGCCCTCGCGATCTCCGACTTCAGCGTAGCTCCCGCCGACTGGTTCGCCCTCCGCGGTCTCCTGATGCCGTGCAGCTCTCGCATTGTGGCACCCCGCCCTTGGACTGCTTCGACCGGATCCCCACTTTCCTATCTCCTTCTTTTTTCCTCTCGTTGGCTGGCGGCTTCTTATCCTTCTATTTTCCTTCTATTCTTTTTATCCCTCCTTCCTTCTCTCTATATCTTTTATTCCCCATATCCCATTCCTCTGCTGACCTGTTGAGGTGTCCTCGTAAGGAGAGACAGTTACGGGTCGGCACCTTTCTTTTCTTTTCTTCTGATATAACCACAATCTGGCACAAATCCAATTCACTCTATATCAAAGCTCCTGAATAGGAAAGGCTTGATCACTTGGCAATCAGATAAGTGTTCAAGGACCTTATTGAGAAATCCATGTGGATTTCCTTGTGGTTTTGTGCTGAAGACAGCTGGTTGTCGATTATCCCTTTCCTAACCTTTCCTCTACCTTGCGAGAATTCCGCAAAACTCATTTGCAACAGGCTATGTTCTAGTATTAGTAGCTGTTTTCAATGCTTTCAGGCGATCACTACTTAGAAAAAGTGAAACCAGCAAATGAATATTCACAGCGGAGCCAAGGAGTTTGCTAAAGACTGAAAAAATTAGGAGAGAACTGAAGAACCTTGCCTAACAGAGTAGGTGTCCCAGTAGCTGCATTATTGTGGGTTTTATGAACATTGGGAACAATGTGATCAAGACTGTTAATTTCTGATCAAATTTTATTACTTCTGATACAATAAAACTATGGCTGATTTTAGAAAATTGTTTAGGAAAAAATTGCTTCTTGGGACGCTGCTT